TTTAAAAATTATTGTCCTCAACTTATATGTGTGAATTATAACTTGAACTAAGAAAATTAAATTGGAATGTTTGCACAATTCAATTTTTAAAATTGGAAATATGAGTTCATGGTTTAATTTGTGTGATACTAAGTGTAATATAAATATCTTATCTATTTTGAGAGTAGAGAAATCCTAAGAGTGATTGCTAGGAGAAAACAATTAGAAAATGCCTGAGATTGGCTAGATCAGCTGGCCTAGTGGTTAATTTTGGTGCACTCTACTTCATTGGCCTAGGTTTGGTTCCCAGGTGCAGACCTGCACCACTTATCTCTTAGAGGCCATGCTGTGATGGTGGCTCACAAACAAAAAGAGGAAGATTGACCTTGGATGTTAGCTCAGGGCAACATCTTCCTCAGCAAAAAAAAAAGTGCCTGAGAAGTAGAGTATATGTAACAAAATATCTCCATTTACCTCTTCTAGATCCAATTCCAAATAATATAGCCCTGTGAGAATAACTTCTTTCCAGCATGTTTATAGCTTCAAAGGAACAGATGTTTCATTTTTTATTTATTTGTGAAATTAATCATCTGAATTCTTAACTTTGTTGAATCCAGTAGAAGTCTGTACACGGAGAAGCAAAGTGGATGACTCCAAATAAGTACACAGAAAAATATATACTTGAAAGATATGCCCCTACACACATGTACATGAATATTATGTGAATGATACATATTTCTGTGTATAATCTATATTTTTACAAAAATGAACAAAATTGAATTGTAGATATCTTCACCAAGAACATTAAATCGGATTAACAAATTAAATAGAAAATAAAAAGCAAAGACTTTTTGTCATTAGCAATCTGTGTGCTAAACACAGTGATAGATGGCTGCTTTATATACATAGATATGCTGGCTGTAATCTTTCCAACAATCTTGGAATGCAGAAATTATTATCTTCATTTTACAGTTCAGGAACTGTTAGAGAGGTTAAGAATTTTGCTCACGTGATTTGCTTGGTGAATTATTTTAGAACAGTGGCAATATTTTGCTAATAAGAAAGAAGTATTGAATGTCTAGATACTCTATGATTGGTTAAAATGTCACAAGATAGTGTATTAATGTGAAGAAGAATTTGTATCAATTGTTTAAGGAGCAGCTTGCATAGAAATTCACATGGAATAAATCAGTTTAAATATCATTCTTAGAGGAATGTTTATAAAGTTGGAATCACATGCTAAACTTGGGAGGACTCAAGGCATTCATTACTTACTTGAGCAAAGATACTATTATCACATGAACATTCATGGCTCATATCTAGATTTCCTTTTTCTTTGAATGTTTTTCTTCATAACAAAATGATGAGTCATCTGTTGAGGTAAGATTCTGAGATAGAATTTTATTTCTTTAAACACAAATATCAAATATCCTAAAATTATTTTTAAGTCGTAGGAATTACTAAATCATTACTATGAAACATCTGAAGAAAGCTTCCCCCAGGGCTTTGGAGACCAAGAGGCATTTTTTATATCACTGTTTTCTGCTCAAGCAGTTGCTGGGGCTATTGTAGCTAAACGCAAGGTTTCTCTTTCTATTGGGCAGCTCGTGGCCACTGCTGGACAGGAGATATAGTCCTAGCATTCTGAAATACACCTTGGACTAGACTTCCACACAAATGTTATAATGGACCTAAGACTAGTAGAGATGGTTATGTAATCCATGATAATTATCATTGAATATCATTTCTTTACATCCCTGATGTACTCCTTTGTGGCTCACCTCCTACCATTTTAGACAAATAGCAGACTCTTACTCTTTTATTTTGATGTTTTGTGCTTTGTTTTATAAATATTCATGAATTAATCAAACAGTCCTGGTACTGGGTACTTGAAATCAAAGATAAAACCTTGCTTTCAGGGAACTTAGTCTTGTGGGTATAGGGAAGAGAACAGACAATTACAATAAAGTTTCAAGTGCTTTGAAAGAGGTCTGCACTGCATGCTCTGCTCTGAAAAGCCCCTAATCCATATTGGAGGGAAAAGGAATGTGAGGGAAGGCTTGAGGAGGGAGGGAGATGTGGACTATGTCATTAAAGATGAGTGGGAATGATCTGAAAAAGAGGACAGGATGATTCCTTGTGGAAAGAGCTACCTGAGCAAAGGTACAGAGGAGTCAAAGGGTAGATGTGCTATTAAGGAAATGGAATAGATAGGATTGAATGTGAAGGGGTAAGAGACAGATTGGGTTCAGGGATGACCTTATATCTGAGAGGCTCTGGAACCATTCACTAAGATAGGAAATACAAGATCTAGAAGAACTGTGTCTGGCAGAGAAATGATAAGTTTCTTTTAAGCATGTTAGATATATTCTCCTAGGTTTGCAGACTGGCTGAGTCTTCATCCCTTGAAATTCAGATCCATCCATCTGCTTTTCAAACCACCAATCTTGGATCAATATGGCATGGCTTCTCCCTTCCTTTACTAAGATAACTGAGAGCTGGAAAAATACTATATTGATTAGCTCTTTGCAAATGTATAGCTTTACACTTCAGCTAAACCCTTGCTTGATCTTCCTTTTTAAAGTGTCTTGATTAACTCCCTTCCCCATTCTCCAAAAGTTTTCTCCAGATATTTACTGTTCCTCTTAGATTCCCATCCCTCATCCCCACTACTCTCTCAGTCTCAGCAGATGAGTTGCCTCCTGTCTCTCTGAGATGATTAAGGCTATCTGTGAAATCCCTCATCTTCACACTTCCTACCTATAAACTCATCTATATCTATGCTCACTTCATTTCCTCTTCTCAGAAGGATGCAGGTGTCTTCCTTTCAAGGCTTATCCAAACTTCATTTGATCATGGCACCCCGTTCTCTCTGCGGTAAAGTGCAGTGAGCCATCAGTCCCCACTAGGCCACTGAATTTGCATGACAAAATTTGCATCCCAAGTGCAAATTCTAATAGATCTGTTCAGTCCTTATCCTGCTTGCTTTCTCTGTAGTATTTGGCTCTGTTGATCATCTTATTTTTTCCTTAAAATTTGTTCTTTTTTTGGTTTTGGGATATCACTTTCTCCTGATTTTTTTTCTCCCACTCTGCAGAACTTTCCTTTTCTATCTTCTTTGTTGACTTCACTTTCTCTTCCAAGTCATTAAATATTGCTATTCTGCCAGCTTGCAACTTGACCACACTGTATCTGAGTTTTCTCATATGTTCCCGTGTCAATTATATGCCATTAAATCACAACAAATATGCCATTAAATCACCCCAGATCTCTCTTTGGAGCTCCTGATATAAATATACAATCAGTACTCACTGTTTTACCTATAGTTATCTTAACCTGGGTGTCTATAGGCATCTCAGACACAACATATCCACCTTCCTTACCCCACTCTGCCAACTAATTTTCCTTGTGTATTGATAAATATATTAAAGAATGTTATCCCATCTGCCCAGCTGACCAAGCAAGAAGTTGGAATGTATGTTTTTCCCTATGTCCAAATGGAAACAAGTCCTATCAATTCTGTCTCTTGACATTTCGTTTCTGTTCTCTTATTCTCATTATTCTGCTCCTTTAGTTCGTGCATTCAGGATCTCTCATCAGGACTACTGCAGTAGCTTTCTAATTTATCTCTTGGCCTTCAGCCTTGTAGTTTTCTATCCATTTACTAGAGTAATGGTTCCCAGAGAGACATTTTTAAATTTTCTGGCTTCGAATCTTTTAGATTCAAATCTTTTAAATTTATGGCCATGGCATACAGTTGTGCAGGTTGTATACTGCACAACCCAAAGAGGTTCTATTTACAGTGTTATCCTAGGTTTGCCTATTAGTGTCATATAAAGTATCCCCACAAAGGACATTTTCTACTTATTGACATAAATGTGACATATAGGCGCATTGCCTAAAAGCCAAAATCAAACTCCAAAACTTCCTAGCAAGGTATATACAACCCTCCAGGTTTAGGTATTTGCCTAACTTCTCTAGTGATATCTTTTGTTATGTTTTCTTCCACCTCAACACATGACCTCTTATGTCCCAGCCTCAACAAATTCTTCTACTTCCATAAATATACAATACAGTTTCTTGCTTCTGTCCTTTAATCTCATCATGCTAGGCCTATACACAAATGTTCATAGCAGCTTTGTTCTCAATAGTCCCAAACTGGAAACACCCAGATGTTCTTCTGTGGGTGAATGGTTAAACAAACTATGGTACATCCATACCTTGAAATACTAGTTAACAATCAAAGGAATGAATTATTGACACATGCAACAGCTTGGATGAATCTCTCGAGGAATTTATGCTGAGTGAAAAAAGCCAGTCCCACAAGGTTACCTACAGTATGATTCCATTTATGTAGCATTTTTGAAATGATAAAATTTTAGAAATGGAGAACAGGTTAGTGATGGTGTAGTGGGTGCAGGGGGTGGGTAGGCAGGAGGGAGGTGAGTGTGGTTATAAAAGGATCCTTGTGGTGATGCTATTCTGTATCTTGACTGCAGTGGTGAATATGTGAACCCACACATGTGATAAGATTGTATAGAATTAAATACACACATACACACACAAATGAGTAAAAGTAAAATAGTAAATCTGAATATTAGTGGATTGTATGGATGTGAATATCCTGGCTATAGTACTGTACCGTAGTTTCCAAGATGTTACCACTGGGGAAAATTGAGAAGAACCCACATGAGATCTCTCTCTGTGTTATTTCATACAACTGCTTATGAATCTACAGTTGTCTCAAAATAAAAAAATTAACAAAAACAATAACTAGGCAGATTTTAAAAGAAACTTCTAGGAATTAAAAACTATAGAGGGGCCGGCCCAGTGGCGCAGCGGTTAAGTTCGCATGTTCCGCTTCTCGGCGGCCCGGGGTTCGCTGGTTGGGATGCCGGGTGCAGACATGGCACTGCTTGGCAGCCATGCTGTGGTAGGCGTCCCACGTAGAAACTAGAGGAAGATGGGCACGGATGTTAGCTCAGAGCCAGCCTTCCTCAGCAAAAAGAGGAGGACTGGCAGTAGTTAGCTGAGGGCTAATCTTCCTCAAAAAAACAAAACAAAACAAAACAAAAACTATAGAAATTAAAATGCAATGGACAGGTTAAACAGATCAGATTAAGTTCAAAACTAAAGCTGTAGATTGGAAGATAGAGGTAAATAAATTACCCAGAATCCATCAAAGAGACACAGATGAAAGTAATATTAAGAGAAATATATATTAGTATATCTATGTCTAATCTAGAAGAAAAAAATGAACAGGTTGGGATATTTTGAAGAGATAATCCCTAAGGGGTTTTAGATCTATGAAAGATATGAACCTTTAGATTCAAAAAGAACAATGAAATACATGAAGAATAAACAAATGTGTTATAGTGAAATTGCAGAAAACCTAAGAAAAATAGAAGATATTAAAAGCAGAGAGAGAAATGACAGATTTTCAATATGAAAAAGATAACAGTTCTGTCAGCAAACATCTCAACAGCAACAATGGAAGCCAAAAAACAAGTTTAAAAATACTTCCAAGTACTAAGAGAAATTAACTGTCAAACTGATTTTATGGACCTATCTAAACCATAATAGAATAATGAAAGTAAAATAAAGATATTTTCAAATGCCAGAACCAACCAACCAACAGACAATAACAACAACAACAAAACCAGAGTGCTTACTATCTTGAGACCCTCACTAACGAAACTGCTAAAGATGAATTTAGGGAAAATGGAAAAATACCCTAGAAGAAATTTTTGTAATGCAAGAAGAAAAAGTGAATCCAGAAATTGTAAGCATTCATCAGGAACATTGTGTAAAATAGCAAAGACAACAATAATAATAATATTAATGCTAACAAATTTGGAGAAACAAAAATACAATAGAACTCAAATATTGGAGAACAAGAACATGTAAGATGGGAGTGCAATGTTTAGAGTTAAAGCTTTCTAAGATCCTTGTATTTATTGGGAAGGTAGATTTACTAAATGATTTTAGTTTTTAAAAGGCATGTATTTAAAAATTTTAAGTGTAACTGCTAAATAAATAGAAATAAATTGTAAAACTTTCTAAATAGTAGGTGGAAAATGAAATAAAATAATCACAGTCAATCCAAAAGAAGTCCAGAAGAGGGGGTGAAAAAGCATAGGAAATACGTAAACAATAGAAAGCCAAAATAAGATAGCAGAAATAATGCATACATTTCAGTTGTCAGGATATATGTAACTAGACTAAACTTGTCAGATTGAAGTACATCTAATATGCAATTTGAAGAAGAAACACATGAAATATGAGAACATAGAATGACAGTAAAAGGGTGGAAAAAGATAAAACCATGAAACCCTAACCAAAAGGAAAGATATACCAGGCAAACACCAACCAACATGAAAACAGTAATATTGATAGGAGTTAAAATAGCAGAAACTGTTCTTCCTTTCTTCCTTTTGGTAGAAGAATTCTCAGTCTTACTGGCCACTCAGCTAGAGACTACACTTCCTAGACTTTCTTGCAGGTATTTGTGACCATGTGTTTAAGTTAGGGCCAATGGAATATGAACACAAGTGAAGAATATAGCTTCCTGATACTCTCCTTAAAGACAAAACTGCTTGTCTAGATTTTCTCGTGCCTCTTCCAATTGGCTGGAAAAGGCAATTGCAGTAAGACAATTGTTACCCATGTCGAATGAATGGCAGTCGTGGGGCAGAGCTGTCTATCAACCTCAGGCTGTACATTTACCTTCAAAATCTTACATGCAAGAAAAATAAACTTCTTTTTAAGCTACTGTATTTTGGACTTCTCTATTATAGCATTTTAGCATGTGCTCTAACTATTTAGTGTAAAAAGAATTATTTTTATGGTCACTTCATCAGAAACATAAATTCTGAACTTGTGTGCACCAATAATATAACTTCAATATATGTAAAATAAGAATGAAAAATTATAAGGACTGTGCTCTTATAGATCAAGACAAAAACAAAAAGCAAACTTTTAATACTTTTTGAAGAAAACATAGAAAAATATTTTTATGACAGAAATAGGAAAGAATTTCCTAGATAAGGCAAAAAAAAAAAAGCACAAACCTTAAAGGAAAAGATTGACCATTTTGATTATAATAGAATTACCTTACATTACATTGATTTTGTTAGTAAAAACTCATCACAAAAGATGTTATTAAAACTAAATTTAAAAAAACAGGTTATAAGAAGATACATGCAGTATATGTAGCTGCCCGGAATATTATCTATATTATATAAGTATCATCTGTCAATCAGTAAGCTAAAGACAGCTCAAGACAAAGGGACGATAGATATGAATAAGCAATTAACAATAAAAGAACAAATAGCCAACTAGCATTTGAAAAGATGCTCAACCTTGTTAGAAATCCCTTGCTAGAAATCAGGGATATACATGTTAAAACTACAGTGAAATACCATTCACACTCAGGAAGTTGTCAGTCATCAGGACAATACCAAGTGCTGGTGTTGATCAGGATGTGGGTGGAGCACTGGAAGCTCTCCTATCGTTTTGGTAGGGATATAAATTTGGCATTTATTCAAGTAGAATATATGTCTTCAATACAACCCAGCAATTCTATTCCTAGGTATATGTCTTTGAGAAATTCCTGCATATGTACGTAAGGAAACATATAAAAGAGTATTCAAAGCAGCTTTGTTAACAAAAAAATCAAGACAAAAACCCTGACGGTCCATCAACAAGGAGGATGAATAAACTGTGGTATTTTCATGTAATGGAAGATAGTCAAGAAAATGAATGAACTAAATCTCCACATATGAATGTGGACGAGTCTCATGTGGAGTATTGGGGGGGAAAAAAGCAAGTCACAGAAGCATACAGTTTAACACAGACATAAAGTTTTAACTCATGCAAAAATACTACATATTGCATACAAATACCTCATACGTATTAAAGGTATGAGTGTTTATTATCCATGCTCAAAGTGTTTGTTGGTCATTGCCTTATCCCTGTGATGGGATGTCACTTGGGTTGTAGGGTAGCAGTAGATTATTTCTTTTCTGGGAAGACTTCCGAGAGCTAACAACTGTTTAAGTTGAGTGTGAAAAATGGGCATGGGTTTTCTAAGCAGAATTCATGTACTGAAGTTAATGTACTAAAGTGTATTCTTTTGGCTTACAGAAAAGCTGTTTCAATATTCACTTAGAACCTTTTGACTTCTTCAATACATAATTCTAATAAACTTAGTTGTATTCTAATTCATGGTAGATTAGACTGCCAGAAGCAAATACACAGGTAAATGAGAAATGATGGCCAGCTGTGAGGTATAAGGCAGGGAAAACAACCAAATGCACATATAGGAATTAAAACTAAAAGTAGTCTAAGGCTAAATATGATATGAAAGCAGTGAATCCTGTGTGCCCTAGTAACTCCAGATAGCAAGCTGTACATTACAGCAATTAAGGATGACCCCAGGTCATCCAGATGTTTATGTTTCACTTAAGTATTCAAGAATAGTTTGATATATATTTACAACAATATTCATCAATTTTTTAAAAAATTTGGGACTTAAGGAAAATCATTTTTCTGTTTTGCCAAATTACCCTGTTTGGAATAGCACATTTCTAAATTATGCCTAGTAAGTGATGCATTTCTGTATTTCATTTATTCAACAGACATTCCTTGAGCAATTACTATGTGCTAGGCATGATGTTGACACTCAGAATACAAAGGCAAATCAGATACTTCATTACATCATTCATTAACACAGTGCCTGATATATGATATTTGCTAATATGTGTATGTTTAGGAAGAGAAAACACTAATTTGGCAGTTTGATCTTTGCTATACTTGTATCATTTTGAAAATTTTGAAAGTTAGAAGTGGAGGGAACTGAAAGGTTTTGGATTTGGAACTTCACTTGAGAAGTGTGCTAACAGTATGTGCTTTTTATGGATTTCCCATCGGCTTCTTGCAGTATCTATTAAAAGATTTCAAAAAATTTAGTCTCTTTAGCTTTGTAATCCTAATTCTAAAAAATTATCTTAAAAAAACAATGAAAAGTAAGCACTATGCTTTTAAATGAGGTTTAGGTGACATTATTTATAATAATGAAAACACTAAGTGTTCAGTAGTAGAGAATTGGTTAAATTGTTATATTCATCCATCAGAATTCCAGTGTGAGAATACTTAATGAGATAGGAAAATGCTTATGCTATATGTATAAGTTATGCTATATGGGCAAGTTACAAATAATGCTTGGAGGAAAATATGCCAAAATATTGAGAGACTATTTATGGTGGTAGGATTATAGGTAATTTTCCTTTTGCTTTTTCTTCTTTATTTTCCAAATTTTATGCACTAAGCATATTACAGTTATAACCGTAAAAAAAAAAAAAAAACCAATAGCACTGTGTTTGTTTTGTTTAATTTGTGGACAAAGACTTAGAGACAGGTGCAAAAAATAAATCCTCTTTTGGGGCCAGCCTGGTGATGCAGTGGTTAAGTTCACGCACTCTGCTTTGGCGGCCTGGGGTCTGTGAGTTCGGAGCCCAGGCTCAGAGCTACACACCACTTATCACCCCACGCTGTGGCAGCATCCTACAAACAAAATAAAGGAAGATTGACACAGATGTTAGCTCCTGGCCAATCTTCCTCATCAAATAAATAAGTAAATAAATAAATAGATCCTCTTTTGCAATCCAGATCTCATTGTTCAGTATGGGTTTTGATACAGATAAAAAGGAACATGTGATACCTAAAACAGATTAAAAAGACGAGGGTATTGATAAACATAAAGGCTGATTCCAGGACTGGAGAATTGATAATTAAAAAGCATAGGATATATGGAAATCTCAGCTATATTGACTTAGTATTCTAATTTTAACATTCACATGAAATAAAGATGGCTTCTTTTTTTAGAAAAAAAAAATCAAATGCTGTTTGTAAGATAGCACTTATTTTCCATTCTAGAATAGATTTTTTTGGAAATAGATTTTTATCTTGGGAGATCGTTATTGACCACAATGATTTCTTTTGGATATTGTCAATGACCAAGGCTTGACCTTTGTTTAAAGCCATAATAATATATCACAAGTTCACCATTTATGATTATGATTAATGTCACTCATTAAAAATGATGTTTTTATGCATGTTCTTGTCTCTCAAATTGAATAAATAAATGGAAGTATACAGGTTACTAAAGCCGTAGATAAGTACTCATAAAGATGAAATGGAGAATCTTCATGGAAATACTTAATGTTCTCTTTTGCTCTCATGAATTTGCAGTTCTTCAGTGGGTAGTGCACTTCCGCGAAGACGCTGCTGTGCATATGTTACCATTGGAATGATATGCATTTTCATTGGAGTTGGATTAACTGTGAGTATTACTCTACTCACTGTTAGAATTTTTTCTCTCAACTTTATCAATAGTAAATGGTGAGGCCTTGGGACAACCTTCAATGACCCCTGCCTGCCTCCGTGGCATACGAGGTCCAGAAGCTTCTCAAGGACTGTGGGCAATCTGAAGCTCAATCCGTGGACCTGCTTTTAATGGAGCTTGCCCATCCAGGTGAAATGGTGTCTTAGGAGCCCTCTGAATATCCTTGACGTTGGGGACTTTGCCATCCACTAAACAAAAGCCTGTTTGTTTTTATTTAGTTCCAGAACCAATTTTGCCGATGGCCAAATCTGAAGCAATGCTTAGTCAGCTATGGAGGTCTGAAAAACCATTCTGTGTTCAAGTCAAGCAGAGATTTATTATCAATATGAGGTTACTTGTTTTTAGAGGACACTGAAGCTAAGCAGTTAGCCTGGAGATTATCCCAGGAGAAGAGCAAGGGACTGATCTGTTTTGCTGCCATTTGCTTTCCGTGCTCCTTTGTTCCACCTGGTCCTATATGATAGCAATGTTCCTATTGTGTCACACAATACTAAAGATTTATATAGATTAAATTCCTTTTAGAGATAACATGTTGTAGGGGGCTTTTTTGTTGACTTCATAAAATTTATTGTTAATATAACTAGCAGCATTATCTTATTAAATTTTACTCTGTCAGTGATAGTCAACAAATATACCAACTCATATTTTATAGGAATTTTGTGCCCTGAGGGATATATTTCATAAAAATCACATGTAAGCCAACATGAGTTCTGTAAGCAGATGTTTGCTTAAGGTTTCTAACCTTTTGTTTTTATATTGTTTTTTATTTTAGGTTGGCACCCAAGATTTTGCAAGGCGATTTCATGCAACCTATGTTTCTTGGGCAATTGCTTATCTCTTAGGTTTGATCTGCCTTATCCGAGCTTGTTATTGGGGAGCCATAAGAGTGAGTTATCCAGAACACAGTTTTGCATAAGTTTGTTTATGATTCAGTGATGCAGGTGAGAGTATCTAGCAGTTCTTGATAAGCTACTCTGGACGTCTTTAAATCATTTATCCTAATGGATTCCATTCCGGTTTATGTATGAAGTTTCAAGACTTTGGGAGTCTTTTATAAACAAATGCTCACTGCACTACATTATACACAAATAGTTTGTTTTCCTGCTAGCTTTTCAAGCTCTGAATAATAAAGCTATGTCTTCATGTTCTTTACATCTCTTAAAGATATTTTTGGATTTGTCACCAAACGTTACATACAACATCACCCTTTCATTATTTTTAAATCAGTTATTCCATTACTTGCTGATCTATGGGTCTTCCTAAGAAGTGTTCCTAAATGTTTCTACAATAGCTTCACGTTTATACTTACATTTTTAATTAAACATTATCAAAATTGCTTGCTTTAAAATCTAAGTAATATGCATTTTGCTTGAACTGCTTATGGTAACTTTAACCTAAGATCATAGTGACCTTATTCAGGAAAAAATATTGAGTGTACCTTCAAAGACTTGACATTCTTCTCAGATAAAAACCATTTCTAGATACTGTATGCTTGTTTTTTGTTGTTTGTAGAAAGATACAATATTTTGGTAGTAATTTAAAATACAAGAATGAAAATATTTATTTGCCCACAGTTGGACATAATGTTGGATAAATGTTTTTTCTCAAAGATCACAGGACTTTTGTCTTTCATTTTTGTCTGTTTTTTTAATTTACCAATTATAAAAGTACTAGTCTAGATTTATGAAATTTGATGTTAATTACTGTACGTATTCCTTTATAGAGCCTGGAGGAAATATTTCACATAACATGTTTTGTAATACTTAACCATTTAAACAAGGATATATTTACATTGGGTTGCCCTCTTTTTCATTAGATGATGGTAAATTTTTCTTATTGGGATAATTATGGACTACTTACATGTGAAAGGAGCCTATGACGTTTTACACTAGCTAAAATGTTGAGATTAGAGGTAGTTACTCTTACCATTCTTCTCAAATATAGCTGCTCAGATAATTACCCAATTTATTCAAGAAAATAGATCAAAGACAAAAAGCAACATAGTTTTCTAAGAATTCGCTAGGATTTAAGGAATCAGCTCTTGCACTGCCCATCTTTGCAGTTTTGAAAAAGAAATCGCTTAATTAAGAAGTAATGTTCTAAAGCGGTAATATAGTAGAATTAGATAATGAGATGATTGGAGTAAATTAATTGGCTATTCCAGGGATAAGAATAATATTTTAAATTACTTATGTTCCTGATTAGTATAAAAATGTACTCATCAGAGAGTTTGGAACAAAATACATGTAAACTTCAAAGAGTAAATGATAAATGTATAAATGCAGTAGCTCAGGATTATATGTACCTTTGAAAATACACTAATAAAGATTATTGTTTAAAAATTACCTGTTCTGTTCTATTTTTTATAAATAAGATGTCATTTCCAAAATTGCCTTATCTTACTTTAAAGAGGTTTTCATATTTAAGAATATATATAATATTCCTTTATATAATAGTCACATGTTTTTTCTAGTATTTTTATGGTTTCAGTTTTAAAATATAGATTTTTAAATCCATTTGTAATATACTTGACAAAAAGTATGAAATAAGATCTAATTTATTTCTTTTATTAATGGTTAACTAGTTGTAACAGCATTGTATATTGAATATCACATTCTTTCCCCATTAATTTGAAATCTCACATTAAATTATATGCTGCATGATCATATTGCTGTTGGACTATAACTTCATCATAGCAGGAACCTTCTTGGCCTTGCTCACTGCTTTATCTCCAGTATTTAGAACCATGCCTAGTGCATACGTGCTCAAGAGCTATTTGTGGCATGAATGAATAAATGATTGAATGAATTGGTATGTTAAATTCTTAAATGCCCTTGGGTCTAGACTTTATATTTTGTTATAGAATGTATAGGTAAATATTTATACAATTGTATATTAAGGAAAAATTTTCCAAGTAAAACCCCAAAGCAGAAATCATATAGGAAAGGATTGATAGATTGTATGATTAAAAGAAAAAGATCTGTATGAAAAAAAATCATAAGCAAAGCCAAAAGATAAATTGGTGAAGATATTTTCAAAATACTAGAAGGAGTTAATCTTTTTAATATAGGAAGGGACTATATGAAAAAGCAATTCACAAAAGAAGAAATACAGTAAGTAATAAAAATGAACTTTCTTTTCAATTTGCTAATAATCAAAGAATGTAAGTTAAAACAAAGAGATACTATTTTTTACCTACCATATTAACAAAGACTGAAAGAGAGTGATTATATCTGTGTAATGTTGAGGATATGGAAAAGTACACACACGCACATATTCTTTGAACTAGGAATTTCTCCTAAAGGTGTTATGGATTAGAGAACAAATATGAATGTACAATAATGATTATATTTTTGTTTATAGCAGGAACTAAAAACAAGTAAAAGTCCAAAAATTCAATAATATGGGATAAGTGAAATAAATTATGGTATACTCATAGTATAAAATAATAGGTAATCTTAAAACTGTGATGAAATTTCTCATCTATTTAATTGGAAATGGTTCACAAAATATTGTGTGACAAAATCAGATTACAAAAGAAAAATGTAAAAAATTACAAAAAAATTTCAAAAAAAATGATTTTATGTGTATGCATTGAAAAAATTAAGGTAAATTGAACACTTAAGTGTTAAGAGTGATTATCTGAGTGATGGAATATAAATGGCTTTTTAAAAATTTCTGTACTATGTTAACAGTTGGAATGATCTTGATAAGTAGATAAGATAAATAAGATAGATAGATAAGAATGCTATGTCATGAGCACGTCAATATCTGTTACATTTTCATTTAGATTCTTGAAGGGTGTTAAAATAAATTTACTAAAATCCAAACCAATGAATTTCATTGATAAAACCTTAAGTTTTAAAGTTAACAAATTATGTATTTACACTTAGTTCTATATGAATTGCTATAAATCTTTAATTAAATCCAAATTTATGAGACTTTATACTCAGTTTTATGGAAAGTAGAGCTTGCTTTCTAGTGTCTAGTGGAAGACAGAAGTGCTGGGAAAATGATATTTGAAAGAATATACCATACCTACTAATCAGAAAAGGAAGGGTTTGTTTGTCTCCTGCTGTCCAAAGTAGTAAAATGGCTTAGTTCTTCTAGGAAAAGAGGGGGGAAATGGAACCATGGTCAGGTATTCTTGAGCAAGTCATTTGTGAATATACATATGTCGTTTTAGAAGAAAAGATCCTAATAATGACATGTGTCAGATACAGTATTAGCCTCACAACACATGCTGTTTAATATTCACAGGAACCCTAGGAAGCACGTATTCTTGTTTCTCTTTTACCAGAGGAAGTTGAGGTGCCACTCATAGATCTGAAAAAGTAGATTTTGAGTAGGACAAGCAACTGCATTCAAAACAAGCACTCCTAGATGATTTTGATGTAGGTTTTTCCTGAATCATACTCTGAGAAACACTGTACTACACTATGCTGAAAATATACACACGTTTACATCCACTTTCTCTGGCATTCACATTTTCTCATATAGAAAAAGCTTTGATTGTATTTAAGTAAATACTACCGTTTCTTTTGTTTGGGTTTTGTTTTTTGGTTTTGATCTAGCTATAGTTGTGCTCATATGCTATCGTGAAACTCTACAGCCATTTCCATGTTCATGGTCTGCGCAAATTGCTATAAAACCTAAATCTGTGTTTATTCGATGTGTTTTTGGTGTACATGTACACATATATGTAATAGGCCCTGAAGAAAAAACCCTAGTGCTTATTGAGCTGCCTTACATATGTTAATATTTAATTTCTATGTCATTCTTATCATGATTCTACCCTTGAAGAAGCTCAGAGAGGTTGAATTAGATAAAGGTCATTCAGCCTACATATGATAGCGACAGTTGAAAGCAGTCTGTCTGCTTCCAAAATGTATCTGCTTTCCACTACAGCATGAGATTTTATTGTGCTTTGCTTTGTAGAGAATAAGTTTTGAATTTTTGTACCCCCTGCTGTTCAGTGTCTGTATCTCATCTGTAGAAAGAAAATTAACAAAATGCTTGCTGGAAGTATTCATTTCACAAAGAATAGAATATTCTAGTTTAAAAAAATATTTTTACGACTATGATAGTATATCCAACTTTATTAATTTTAGAGCATTTTATATTAACAAAATATTATTACATGTATTTATTTTCTTTTTTATAATTAACAAAATCATAAGACTGAGTAGGAATATTACATATTAAATATGAGGAAATTGACATATGAGTCAATATAACTTCTTTTCTTGTAATAGCAATATTTATTAAAATGATTAAATAGCACAAAATGCTAAAAAAGATTTGTAAAGGCTTTTCACTTTTTAATCCATTTTACATGCTCAGTTACAAATTTAAATAAATACCAAAGTTCTTTATGTTTTGATAAATGTACAAGTGTTTGACTTGAGGCAGAATACTATGTAAAAAGCAGAAAATTAAAAAGCCTATATTCTTTTGGGACTGCCCCACAGAGTAAGGTATTTGATAAAGCTAAAGATCTAAGAAGTGAGTACAGTTTGTCATTTAACAGGTGAGAGTCTTTGATCTACCATAGAAGTAGTCTTTTCAGTTTTGTCAGTGTAACTGAAACTCATTTAAGGTGACTTGCTAAATAGGAAGTGATCAAGCACATTGCTCTCACTGCATTTTTTAAATACCCTGAGTGGCTTATGCATATGGTTGGATATACAGCTACTGAAAGTGCCCAGTGTTCAAAAATTTTTTTCTGAAAAACCTTGCCACATTGTCTGATATTTCTACATCAAATATAACTTTGGCTTAAGATATTGGACACTTAAATAATCTTGTAGAAAATCTATTAAATTTTTATCAGTTATTAAGCCTTTAGCAAGAGTAAGCTTAGGAGATTTATAGAGAATTCCTTAGCTTAGTAATGTCTTATTTTTTTCCTTGCCTCTTTCTACACACCTGCCTTACTCCTTCCTTTAAAAGTTCCTCTCTACTTATCATCTGCTATCCACAGGTCTCTTTTTACTTCTGCATAATCAATGCAGACTGCAGTACCTGGTTTTCATTCTTATCATAAGCCGTTGATTTAAATGTCAATGTGAATGGCCTATCTTATACTCTGGTCTGGACTCAGTTCTTTGATTCCCTCAAGTCCAGTGACCTTTATCTCCATTACACTTCTGCTGTTCACCTCTGTAGGTGAATGCCGGATGCTCATACTTAGAACATCTCCATTTCTGAACTCTTACCCTCAGATATCCACTCTGAATGTTTATCTCTTCTTATCCTTACAAAATCCTCACTCTCTTTGTACCACTATTCTTGAATATCACCTTCAACATGTCCAGTTTGATTACTCTTCCAATCTATCATCTCCTTCTATAATTACCATAACCACACCGATTAATGCCACCACAAATTTTTGATCTTCAACTGCTCCTCAACATTGCTTACCTGTCTTCAGCTTTCTTTACAAATTTCCCACAGATACTACTTGAAAACGTCAAAGTTCTAAAGGCCCTTACCACTCTTTCCACAGTAGAGCCCCTCCTCTTATAGTGGATGATTTCTTATTATTCTTACCTTTGTCCACCTACACTCTAGATCTATCCCATTCCCTCCTTCCTCCTCAGGGAACTCATGATATCTTTTCATTATTTCTGAGATCCATCTGACTGCCCAAGTCAATAACTGGCATCACCATTTTCACTTCTCTTTCTCACACCCTCTACAGTCCATCAGTTCTCCCTTATTCTCTCTACATGCACTTCTGTCTTTGTGGTCCCTACCTACCTTTGTGGCTCTCATCAACATGGCCTGGGTTATTGTAAAAGCCTATGAACTGGTCCCTTTGCTTCTGTTCTTGTTTTGCCTGCTCCCTGTCCCTCTCCTCAATCCATTTTCCACATTGTCACTTAAGTGATTATTTTCCAAATAATCCTATTATACCCTACCTAAAGTCCTTCAACGTCTCTCCATGTCCATATAAAGGAGATAAAAAACCCTTCAACCTTCTTTAGCCTAACATTGAACCCCTACCCAAGCAGCACCTCATATTTTGTGTTTCTGCAGTATTAAAATACTGGTATTTTTTGGTATTGACTGCTGTTTCATTTCTATATGTCTTTGGACATGTCCTTCCGCCTGCAAGGAGTATCTCTAAGTTGGTAAACTCCATTTTATCCTCAAAAATCCAGGCATTACCTCCTGATCCCTGAACACTTCCATGATCCCTCCTTTCCTTCCTCTCCTCCTGTCAGAATTCTTTCCTTGTACTACTTCTATCCCCTGTAAACACTTCTAATACATATACTACCCTGTATTTTACTTAGTAGTTTATAGGTACTTGTAGACTATTGTTCTCTTCTTGCTAATTGTGCCTCAGTCATACTAGTCTTAGTTCAGTTTGTCTTGAATCCTCACTGCCTGGCACATAATAGGCATAGACCTTCAAAACTTGTTTTTTTGCTGAGCTAAGCTGAATGGAACCAAATCTCTATTATAGTTTTTAATGCATTGCTATAATGGTTCTCTCTGTGTATGTGTGTATCCTCCACAAAATGCTTTGTAAGTATTTGTGGAATTAGTGAATCACAGGCAGACTGCCGGCAGGAGGTTGATAAGGAGATCATTTGGTAAGCACTAGATAATGCTACCTCTTCAGCTTTTACCAACTCTCCAGGCTTTCAGTAGCACCACCCAGGCACACAGGCACACTGTGAGTGCTTTTATCTAAACAATTAGATTATTGAATTGGAATTGTCTGTTTGTGTATCTGCACCCTCACTACACAGTACATACCCTGAGAGCAGGAAACCATCTTGTGTGTGTTACTTGTGCTCATACAGGGTTTTATTGAGTCAATGAAAGGTACTGTGAAGGTAAAGTTAAATAAGATATGAAAATATAATTGTTTATAAAACCTCTACTTACAAGTAATAAGACACATTTAACTATGAATTATTATCCTTCTAATTTGGATTCTTATTTCCACTCTTGCTTTTCCTCAACCCATTCTCCAAACCTTTTTTTAAAAATCAAAGTAAATATTGACTTAGAATTAGAAAAGCAATGCAATGACAACAAATTACAAATTTTAAAAACCTAACAAATGCCACAAATATCAGAAAATCTTTAAAAATATTTTTAATTAACTACCTGAATTACCCCTATATTTTCCCTGCATTTTTAGTTTTATATTTTTTGATTGCCTCTTTATTTGACAGCAATTTTGTAATGCATTTTCTTTGTGAGAATAAATAATTTGGTATTTTCTCTAGTATAGTTAATCAAAATTTATTTGTTATTATTGAAATTTTAAAAAGCTAATTTCAGTCACACAACTCGATTAGTAATAACATGCCAATTTTTAGTATTGTTAAATTTGGAGAAACCTGTTATGAGTTTCTTATGTGAGTTCTATGATTTTAGGACATTTCAAGTTTTCTTGGGCAGTGTGATTAACCTTAAATGCTCTTTAAATTGCTCATTAACCTGTTGTCAAGGCTCTTGTTGTAGAGGTGTATTATGAGTTCTAGATTATTCTTGTAGATGCCAATATTTCTTGCCAAATCAACAAGGATTTTTTTAAAGTTTCAGTGTGTTTATATGGTTCATCCTTCTTCATCAACTGATTATCAAAAAATTTAGGAGTCTATCACTTCTATTTAAAATTTATCTCTTCCTGTCAATAGATTACTGATTTTGGTTTGATCTGAAAATTTTTTTTTCTTCCAATTCACTTTTTTTGTTTTTTTTGCTGAGGAAGATAAATCCTGAGCTAACATCTGTTGCCAATCTTCTTTTTTTTTTTTTTTTTGCTTGAGGAAGATTAGCTCTGAGCTAACATCTGTGCCAATCTTCCTCCACTTTATATGTGGGTTGCTGCCAGAGCATGGCTGACAAGTGGTGTAGGTCCATACCTAGGATCCGAACCTGTGAACCCGGGCCACTGAAATGGAGTGCTCTGAACTTAACCACTATGCCACAGGGCCAGCCCCACCAACTCACTTTTTTGTCATAATAATTTCCATTGATTTCATGTAGTAATAGGTACAAAATAATTTTATTGTATGATGTACATATAATTGTATATGTTACATTGTTAAATACATTCCTGAAGAAGAAACTTCTGTTTTGACTAGATTGATGAGAACTGAATCCTGTACTTACAATTTTCTACATCTGGGGGTTGGAAGGATTTATTGACTCAATTGTTCACTGACTTCTGGTGCCCCATGCCACAAGACATGTTCTTATCATGACACCTCCTCTCACCCTGCACTTTAGTCTGTGATGCCAGATAAATTGTCTCAGTGGGAGGTGGGAGTGTTCCTGAAAGCCATTTCTACACCTAAATGGCTAGCAATAACTTGACTATGCATGAAGTGCTTGTGAAACTCCACACCTTTTTAAATGGTAAATCCTATCATATTACTCCCCAACTTAAACCCGTCAATGCTTCCCATTGCTCTTATAATAAAATTAAACCGCCTTTGTGAAGCCCACAAAACACTGTAGGATTTCAGCTTTTCCCATCTCTTCAAACTCATCTTCAATATTCTCTTCTTGCTCTCTGTAGCTAGCCATAACTGGTCTTACATGTTTCTGAAATAAGCCAAACTGTTTTTTCTCACCCCAGGGCATTAATATCTATAGTTCCTTTTACCTAAAGACTTTTTGCCTGTTCTATATCAGCCTTCAAGCCTAGCATAAATGATCCCTTTTCAGAGTGGCATCTCGTCTTCAGTTAGCCCACTGTAGACAAGCTTTCCTCACCTTTACACAGCCTCCTTTGGAGGTTACTTGCATTCTGAGTTCTCTTTCTAAATACTTCTTTCTGGAATGTGTAAGTTTTCTTAATCAACACCCCTTTCCTAATGTTCCAATTTACCTATTCCTCTGATATATATGTGCATGTATGTTATATATGTATGGATATATATTTTCTGTGTATATATATAAAACAGCTGTTTGGATACCTCAACTTAAATATCCTATTATAATCTTATGTTTACAAGGCCCATTCTGAACTCATTTCCCTCCCCAAACCTCTTCTGCCTCTTGTATTCCCTACCCTATGTCACCACCACCTAGTCACTTGTTCACCCAAGTCAGAAATCCAAGAGTCACCCTAGATTCTCTTCTCATTCACTCCCTCCAATCTGTCATTACATTCTGTTGATTTCACTTCAGCAACATCTCTCAGATCTATCCTTTCTTCATTACTTACTTATCTCATACATCATTTCTTACCGGAGTTATTGCAAACACCTCCAAGGAAGCTTTGTTGTAGCCTGCTTAATATTGCTGTATCTTCCACTCCTGCAAAAATCCACCCTCGATATTGCTGTCAGAATGGTCTTCCAAATGTTCAAAAAGACGTTATAAAAGATTGAAAATTGGATTCATGTCCACCTCTCCTGTTTCATTTCCCCACTGTTTTCCCAACTACAGCTACTCTATACTGTACAAGTTTCCTTTTCCCTTTCCACCTCCTCCTCTTCATTCTTGCCTTCTTACCCCAGCCAACTGCAACAAACCAAGCCTCAGCTGCTCTGAAAACTTCTCCCATATTCTAGGCCTAAGGGTCAACTTGAGCATTCCTTGTACTGTGCTCCCAATCTAAACCAGTTCCTCTGTCACAGTACTTCGCCCGGCCCACAGAATTGTTTACTAGCCCCGGGGCCCAGCAGACTGCAAGCCCAGGGATGGCAGGAACTGTACCGCCGCCCACGTCCCCTAGGTGGTGATGGCACCCGGGGGGACACTCCAAGACAACAGTGAAAAAATGAGTAAAAGAATAAAGGTGAAGATCGAAAATAAAGGATTCAGATTCGGATGGAGTTGCCTCAACTGATTTTCTTCCCTTCAGGACGGCAATCTGTGTGGGACAACGTATTACTGCTTGCTGGTAACCGTTTCTCACACCCCTCGCCCCGACAGTGCGGACGCTAGCACGGCCCGGACTCCCCCGCGGGGCAGAGGCCCGCGCCGCCGGGCCACTGGCCGCTCTGACGCGCGAGGGCCTCCGGCGTCAGCGCGCGGGTGGCCTAGCTCACAGACGCTGCCTGGAGCCCGCCGCCGCCCCGCACAGGCCGCTCGCCTCGCGCCTCCCCGTCCTCGGGCAAGCAGGGCAGCCGAAGCCTGTTCATGCGGGCGCGCCCCGTCCAGGGCGAGCCAGCCAGCTTCTCGGAGAGGCCGCTCGTGGCCCCCTCCGACGACGCGCGGCTCCGCCCGCCCCACGCGCCCAGCATCCTCGGGAACCGCGCGCCGCCGGTTTAACGGTTCTGGCCTGGGGGGTTGCGACCGCGCGCGGGGCCCGGCGCCCGAGGCCCCGCCCCGCTCCCGCCTCACGCCCCTCGGAGCCGCCGCAGGCCCCGCCCCCGCCGCCGCCGCCCCGGCCGCCCCCGCCACAGGCCGCGAGCGGACGCGCGGCGGGAGCCGTTCCCCGACGGGCAGCCGGGCGCTCGGCCGCCGCGTCTGGGCTGAGCGCGGCTACGCTGCTGCCCGAAATCCTCCCAGATCTTGAGGCGGTAGGTGGCTGGGAGGACGGGCCACACTGGGGCAGAAGTCGGGCTCCGGTGTGTGAGGTGGCGGGTGGGCAGCGTCTCCGAGGCCAGACGTCGGGAAAGTTGAGGTGAGGGAGAGAAGCACTGGAGTTGGTCGGGACAAATCAGTCAGGGTCCCCACCGTGGGTCGTCGAGCGCTAAAGGAGCGGGCACGTCGGAGGGAAGGGGTGGCGGCTGGTGTGGGAAAACCCGGCGAGGAGCAAGCGGCCGAGGGGCAGTTACACTGCTGAGGGGATGGTAAAACAAAACCCAGCAAAACGCCAAAAAAAGGAAGGACCTAGCCCTCTGTGCCAGGACCTGGTTCTGGGTGGTGGGATGGTTTGCAGATTTTTTGTCCCCCGTGCCCTGGCATCATCCCTGCTGATTTCGGTTGACAGGTTTTTCCCTTCGTTATTGTAGTTTTTGTTAATACAATAAATAATTAATAATTACATGAGATGATATTCAACAAGAAAAGAAAAGCCAGTGGGAAAAAAAAGAACCAGAAAACATGTATGGTTAACTCACAGAAAAAAGTCAAATGGTTAATGAACATATTCGAAGATGTTCCACTTATATGTAAGGATATGCCATTTTAAAACAATTGAGATGTAATTGACATAACATTAGTTTCAGGTGTATAACAACGATTTTTTTTTTATCAAAAGTCTTTTATTTTTAATTTTTTTTAAAGATTGGCACCTGGGCTAACAACTGTTGCCAGTCTTTTTTTTTTTTTTCCCTGCTTTATCTCCCCAAACCCCCCCTGTACATAGTTGTATATCTTAGTTGCAGGTCCTTCTAGTTGTGGGATGTGGGACGCCGCCTCAGCGTGGCCTGACGAGCGATGCCATGTCCACGCCCAGGATCCGAACCCTGGGCTGCAGCAGCAGAGCACGCGAACTTAACCACTCGGCCATAGAGCTGGCCCTCAAAAGTCTTTAATTGCTGGTATTTTAGGCAAAGCTACAAAAAGGGACAGTTACATCAGTTACTATAACCATAAACACCTGTTACTTGGACAGTTTCATCCCACCTAAGTGTTAAATTTTGTTTGTATTGAAAGATGCTTCACAGAGAAAAATTTTTTTTTGGTCAGTTGTAAAGAGAAGGCATGAAATGGAAAATATGATGGAACACTCTCACCTTATAACTTTGATATTTTAGTTTTAATTTTTCCTGAATACAGCAATGTAATTTGAGGAATATAAAATGTCATTCATTGTGTAAGTCATAATTGGTTTATCTCTTACTCCCTTGTATTTCCTCTGTGTTACTTTTCATCTATCAGTTTATCAGTATGTGCTGTTAGTAACAAGCAGCATTTGGTGTCAAGGAATCCGAACTTTGTAAAAGTAATATTTTGAAGTCGAAAATTGAGATTAAATCCTATGTAGTTATTATATGGGAAATATACATGAGGTGGATAAAATCATGGTTTTTTACTTCTTCTCTTAGCTTATTTCCTTAATTTTATATGATCTCATTTCTTAATTGCAGCAGAACCATCAGCACTTTCTAAAGAAATAAAAAATTTAAGTTGCAAGTTTTAAGTATAGTACCCAGCTTGTAAATAGTACATAATATGTTTCTTATGTTGTGACCTATGATTAATATAACAGTGTACCTTGTCTACAGAATGAAGAAAACATAGTAATACCATAATTTATTTAGTATTCTAAGAAAAATTATAAATTGAGGAAATGGAAATTATTGATACATACCAATTTATTCAGCAAGGCTTTATATATACATGTCCCTTCTCATTTTTTTTTTTTTACCCATGCTATCAATGTCCACATGGAATAGTTTTACTTACCAAACATGCAAGTTTAGACACAAGGGCATGAACTTATGGTCAAATCCTCATTTCTACCAATTATTAACTATGTGAACTTGAGCATGTCTCTTATTTTTGTGTGTCAGGTTTCTCATCTTTAAAGTAACTAATAATGATTTTCTATAACAGTTAATATATGGTTCAGAATTAAATGAAATAATATATATAAAGCATTTAGCATGTAGTAGGACCTGAAAAAATGGAGTTTTTTTGTTTGTTTTTTTAAAGATTAGCACCTGAGCTAACAACTGTTGCCAATTTTTTTTTTCTGCTTTTTCTCCCAAAGTCCCCCCAGCACACAGTTGTATATTTTACTGGTGGGTCCTTTTAGTTGTGAAATGTGGGACACCGCCTCAGTGTGGCCTGACACGTGGTGCCATGTCCGTGTCCAGAATCTGAACCAGCGAAACCCTGGGTCACTGAACGGAGTGCGCCAACTTAACCACTCAGCCACGGGGCTGGCCCCCTAAAGAAAAATGGAATTTTAATTTAAAAAAAATAGTATATGTTGGGTAATAAGATTGTGACCCAATTGGTCAGTGTATATGCTTATTATCTCATTCTACTATATTTTAGAAAATTCTAGGTTAATTTATAATTTCAGAATTGGTGGGTTTTTAGGATTCATATTTAGTTCAATTTTTTTTTTAAACAGAAAAGAAAACCTAAGATAGAGTTAGTATTACTACATGTAGAATAGCAACTACCCTTAAGTTTCCTGACTTGCAGAGCAATATTCTATTCATACCACTTGGCCTTTTAAGATGATTTGTTAAATAGGTGTAAACTTGAAAAAAAAATTTTTATTCAGTAACCATTTCTCAGCATGTATTAATAAAATTAATTTTTTGAGATATTGGATCAAAATGTCCTTTAAAAAGTATTTATACGACAAAACTATATATTCATATTTTAAAAGACAACTTTATGATAAGCCCACTATTTATTACCCAGTGTTGTAGGTAGGATTCCGTTTCTTTGCAAGTGTTGTCCTTTGTGACAGTTGGTATCATAAATGCTCGCCCTACGTAGTACTAGTAGCTTCAAAGGACACTTGCGGAGCTCTATGTTCAGTGAGTGAAGCAGACATTAGAGTTTAAGATTGAAGTTGTTTTACATACCGACTTTGTGGTTCTGTTGAGTCTTTATGATTTTCAAGCTAAACTGAGAATTAGCCTTTGGTTTGTGGAGTTCTGTCCTTCATAGATTACGGTCCTGTGGATCAGTTTTACAATAATAATTACTTATTGTAAATGCCTTTTCCATTAATAAGACGTAATGCTGTTTAAGACGTGATGCTGTTATATAGTATGCATCCCAAACTTATTCCTTATAATGTCAGTGTCTCTATGCAGGCATAATTTAAAAAGAAAAGTAGTGCTACCATCTTTTCTAATTTCCTTAACTGATGTGGATTTATATATCTGGAGTCCTTGTTGTGGTTTTCCTACTACAAATTGGAAGGATAAGTGGTACTAAAAAATTTCCTATTTTTTCTTTATTTACTTGTGTTACAAAATCATACAATAGTTCTGTAACTCCTCAACTCCTGAAAATCCCTAATTTGAATACTGTGGATTTGCATTGCCCAGCAACTGGAAAAGACTTTACAGCCTACCAACTCAATTTCAGCTGAGCAATGAAAAACAAAGTGTGTACCAAAGTAGTCTATTGTGTTCTGCTTCACTAGTTTCATATGGGGAACAGGATGGAAAGTTACTACATACTACTATTAGGGTCCTAATTAAAAAGGCTAGGATAAACATTAAAGAATGCAATGTTAGATTGCTTTTTGGTCCTTATATAAAATATTTCCTTCCACATAGAAAATATCCAATAAATATTTGTTTGAAGTGTTTTTTTTTTTGCTATCTACGCTTATAGCTTTTTTTGCTTTCTATTATATCCTGGTTGTGTTGCCAGCAAGTACAGACAGCCTTAGGTTTGTTTATAAGGTTAACAGCCATGTTGAAAAACCAGTTAACAGATACATTACAAAGTTAGATGGGTATTAACGTGCAGTACTGGCTTTCTTATCTCCAAACTTCAGGAAAAAGAAACTATTTTGTGCTTGGTTATCATTACTAACTTTGAGAGGTTATTTATAAATTTGTGATTTTAACATTTGAAGTATGTCCAAAAGCATTTTTAAAAATAGGTGAAATCTTTTCTTTGGAGCTAGAAGGGAGTTAGTAACCCTGTTTTATACTTAGGTATAAAAAGTATACTTAGTATACTTAGGTAAAAAACAGTCAGAGTAAAGATCTGCTTAAGATCACGTGGTTACAATTGTTTCTAGATGAGCAGGTGCAAAGTCAGGTGGAGTTTTACTTTTGGCTTTATTATGATAGGCGTGAAAACTTGGAAAGCTGTGTCCCATTCATGCCTTCGAAGATTTTAGTTATATTTAGGGGGTATTTAAAGTTATAGATTTATTTAGTAAAACTAATTATGTTGCAGGTACTGGGATACAAAGATAAATAAGATCTCGTGTTTTTGGCCTCAGCTAACTCAGTCTAATCAAATAAGCATGTAATAGATTTACTGTGATACATTTCAGAAAAATTAGTAGACTAAATATGGTAGG